AAATTGCCTAAATCTGACTGGCCTAGGGACTTTAGAGATCCATTGGAGCCATGTACAGAATTTCGACCACCCAAAATCTTATGTCCTGTCACCAAATTAGCTGATATGATCGATATTTGTAGGTTTTCCTGCTATGCCAAATTGGTGAGAGTTATGTGCTACTGTTATCGATTCATCAATAGAGCTAGGAAGCAGAAAACCTATGATGATACTGTGTTAGAGCCAGAGTAGATTACACGTTCTGAGCTTAAGTTAATAGAGTTTACACAAAAACCAATGACAGATTGGGAAGAACGTTACAGAGATTTAGCCCCATTCCTCAAAAATGGTATCATTCGAGTAGGAGGGAGATGAAGAAAATCACCACTTGGATATGATGAGATTCACCCTGTTTTACTCCTACCAGGACACAGTATTGTTAAGCTTATTATAGCAGACTATCACATAAGAAATGGCCATTGTGGTACTGAAAGAACATTAAGTGATATCAGACGTGAGAGGTAGAAATAGTGTAAAGAGATTTATAAGACATTGTGTTATTTGTAGAAAACTCAGACAACTTGCTCACACCACTTTAATGGCTGACTTACCCTCAGATAGATTGAAGCCATTTACCCCACCCTTCACTGTAACTGGTGTAGATCTATTTGGACCTTTCAACTTGAAGATCTCACGAAACAAGATAATGAAGGCATGGGGAGCCATATTCACTTGTGCTACTGTAAGAGCTGTCAATTTAGAAGCGGTTGAGAACCTATCCACATCAGCATTCCTTCAAGCCTTACGAAGATTTGTAGCCAATCATGGATGGCCAGAAGTCATAATCTCCGATAATGGATCTAATTTTATTGGAGCTGAGAAGGAGCTTCGACAGCTTTATATTAATCGTAAACATCAGATCAAAGATTTTGCCACATTGCACGAGACCAAGTGGAAGTTTAACACCCCTTTAAGCCCGCACCAAGGAGGTATCTTTGAAAGTCTTATAAAGCAAACCAAGAAAGCATTGAATGTTACTGTTGGAGAACAAATGCTAACCTGGAATGAAATGTCAACTATATTTGCCGAAGTGAAGTGCCTTCTAAACAGTCGACCAATTACCTATTCGTCTAGTGACCCAAATGACTATTCTGCTTTAACTCCAAACCATTTTATCCTGGGTAGAGCAACTGCTGAAGTACCTCAAGGTCCCTTCCTAGAAACCAAAAATCTACATAAAAGATTTGAGTTTGTGCAGATGCTCGTCAATAGATTCTTTAGTAGATTTGTGAAAGAATATTTCCCGACACTGATGAAGAGATCTAAATGGATTTGTAAAAAACGACAACTGAAAATTGGTGACATTGTTTTGCTTACTGATCCTAATATACCACGCGGTAAATGGGAATTATCAAAAATAATTGAAGTTTATACAGGAACAGATGGGATAGTACGTAACGTGAAGGTTAAAACTAAACATGGAGAATTTAAGCGCTCAATACAGAGATGTTGTCCAGTGTTGGAATGTGATGAACAATAATTCAAAATTGTAGTGATGTTTGTAACAAGTCATTTAGTTCAATTTTAGGACATGTTTAAAATAATGTTAACATTTGGACAAAATTTACATCACTGTTAATGATTTATGTTATATTTACTTCGTACACTCCTTGTTGTGTGGAGGATGTTGTGAAATTGGGGGTTTTGTCTCTTATTTCATTTATTTCATATTTTGTCGGCCGCAATTTAATTTGTTGTAGTCTGTAACATTTAATATAATCAGTGCATGAGTTAAATACCCTTGACACAACTTAGTGCACGAGTA